TTGCAGTGAGCCGAGATCATGCCATTGCACTCCAGCCTGGGCAACAGAGTGAGACTTCATCTCAAAAAAAAAAAAAAAAAAAAAAGTTTTAAACAAATCCAGAGATAGGTTTAGAGAAAGGAATGCACATAGGGATTAAATTTCTGGAAGAGAGGGTTGTATGGAGGAGATAAAGATTATTGGCGAATTTTTTTTAACTTTTAGGTTCTGGGGTACATGTGAAGGTTATATATGTAAACTTGTATCATGGGGGTTTGTTGTACAGATTATTTCATCACCCTAGTATTATGCCTAGTACCCAGTGGTTTTTTTCTGCTCCTCTTTCTCCTCTTGCCTCCCACCCTCAAGTAGACCCCAGTGTCTGTCATTCCCTTCTTTGTGTTCATGAGTTCTGGGGTTTTTAGTGAAGAATAGTACCCAATTATATTTTAACTTTTCCAAGTATCTGTAGGTGAACAGGGACTTGGAATAGAATGTGCTGATTATTGACTCAGTACAGCCATTATCGTAATTCAGGTAACCATCTTTTAGTTTACTGCCAGTTTGCCTCAGTTTCTTTTCATAGCACCTGAAAGAATCTCTGATTGTTATTTTTATATTTTTTAATTTTTTGGAGATAGAGTCTCACTCTTATCTGGGCTAGAGTGCAGTGATGCGAGGGCTGGGATTACAGGTGTGAACCACCACGCCTGGCCTTTGTATTACTCTTTTTTTTTTTTNTTTTTTTTTTTGATATGGAGAGTTGCTCGTTTGTCCAGGCTGGAGAGCAGTGGTGCAATTTTGTCTCACTGCAACCTCCGCCTCCTGGGTTCAAGTGATTCTTGCGCCTCAGCCCTCCAAGTAGCTGGGACTACAGGTGTGTGCTACCACACCTGGCTAATTTTGTATTTTTAGTAGAGATGGGGTTTCACCGTGTTGGCCAAGCTGGTCTCAAACTCCTGACCTCAAGTGATCCACCGGCCTTGGCCTCCAAAAGTGCTGGGTTTATAGGCATGAGCCACTGCACCCGGCCTGTGTTACTCTTAATAGGTCTGGTGACTGTAAGAAATGTTTAGTCTTAGACATTGGAAAATCACTGGAGATCTATTGGGAAGGGGCAGGGTGATGAATAGATGTGAAATCTTATCGTCAGCAGTAATTGAAAGAAATTAGGAATGTTAGGCCCAGGGAAGGAGTCTTTATGGAGGCATGGTGATTATTTGTCAATATTAGAATAATTTTCATTTGAAAGAGTGCTTAGATGTATACTCCACTGGTAGAAACTATTGGAAAATGTATTGGTTTGGTGTTAAGGAAGATATTTTAAAAATAATTTCTAATAAAATATATTTTAAACTGTGGCTATTTTATTTTATTTATTATTATTATTATTATTATTATTATTATTTGAGATGGAGTTTTGCTCTTCTTACCCAGGCTGGAGTGCAATGGTGTGATCTCGGCTCACTGCAACCTCCGCCTCCTCCAAGCAATTCTCAACTTGGGGTTCAAGCAATTCTCCTGCTTCAGCTTCCTGAGTAGCTGGGACTACAGGTGCACGCCACCATGCCCAGCTAATTTTTCTGTATTTTTAGTAGAGACAGGGTTTCACCATGTTGACCAGAATGGTCTCAATCTCTTGACCTCGTGATCCACCCGCCTTGGCCTCCCAAAGTCCTGGGATTACAGGTGTGAGCCACCGCACCCAGCCTACTGTGACTATTTTAAATAGAATTTTGAGATCTAATTGTTGGAAAGATTGTGGTATTTTTTTTTCTTGAGACAGGGTCTTGCATTGTCACCTAGGCTGGTTAGTGCAGCCTTGAACTCCCAGGCTCAAGCAATCCTCCCACCGCAGCCTCATGAGTAGCTGGGACCACAGGCATGAGCCACCATACCTGGCTAATTTTTGTATTTTTTTTCTTAAGGTGGGGTTTCATCATGTTTCCCAGGCTGGTCTTGAATTCTTGGACTGAAGTGATCCACCCTCCTTAGCTTCCCAAAGTGTTGGATTATAGGTGTGAGCTACTGCAACTGGTCAGTTGTGGTCTTTTTAGTCATAAAAACCTAGGTTTGAATCTTTGTTCTGCTTTCTGTGACTGTGGGCAAGTTGTTTAACCCTTCAGCTTTATTATTATCTGTTATGCTGGGGTTGCTGTGAAGCTTAAATTTGATTAAATGAGCTAATTCATATGTAAAATTTTCAGCTTCATTGTTCAGTGGGTATTCTACTTCTTCCGTAGAGAGGGCAACTTTACAGGAATCTAATAGAAAGCAGATTCTTGGAAGGTACAGGTGTAGTTCCTTTCTTCTTGGAAGGAGTGATTGGACCACTCCTTCGTGTTGTTTTGTTACCCAGTGGTTTAACCTGTTTTATGGGAGTTGAACTAAATGACCTCCAAGCTCAAGAATATTTGGAAAGGAAACAAAGAGTAGCAATGAGCACTCCCAGAACCCAGGTTATGGTATTTCTATAAATGAAAGCAAATCAGGGCTCCCTGGAAATGATTGATTTCAGGTCTGTGGCAAGAAAAATTCAAGATGATCCTGGAACATCCTGACATACCAGATAGAAAAGAAGCTGTTACAGACTGCTAAGATCATGTCAAAAGGACCCAGGAGCTAACTTTCAAAGAAACTATTAATAATTGTTATGAATTGAAATATATTAATAAAATAATGTGTTACTGTTGGAAGATGCATGTGAATCTAGTCATCATTTTGAAAACCGATAAGAATTAAGGCTTTTTCCGTCCTTTCCTGTATTATCATTCAGTAACTATATCAAGTAGTATAAGAGGGAAATTTCTCTTAGCAGAAATATTCCAAATAATACATAAGGAAGGAATGAGATAATATAATTACTTAAAACCTCAGTGAACTTAGGGATCCAAGCACTGATCATCAGTTACTGCAAGTATCACAAATACAGCATCACAATATGTGCCTCTTGATGGAATAATATACCACTGCATGTGAAGTATTGCCAAAAAAATAGAACCCAGATTGGTGAAAATCTGAAAATCTCTGTACCCAATCACCAATTTACATGAAAAGCAAAAGACAGAAAAACGTTTAATTATATCATGGATAAAATCAGCAAAACCCAGACTTTAAAAAAATGTTTTGGGTCAGGCATGGTGGCTCATGCCTGTAATCTCAGCACTTTGGGAGGCCAAGGTGGGTGATTGCTTGAGGCCTAGAGTTTGAGACCAGCTTGGACAACATATAAAATACAAAAATTATCTGGGCATAGTGGTATGTACCTGTAGTCCTACCTGCTCAGGAGGCTAAAGAGTGAGAATCCCTTGAGCCCAGGAGGTTGAGGTTGTAGTGAGTTACGATTGCACCCTGCACTCCATTCTGGGTGACAGTGAGACACTGGGGAGGAAAAAAGTTCTTTGAGAAATAACATTTTAAAATATTAATAGATGGAATGCTAAGCCAAAAACTTCTTCAAAATAATATCAAAGGAAACTCGGAAGAGGTGGTGGAAAGAGGAGGATTGGCCATGGATTGTTGGGGGCTCAGTGATTGGTACACAGGAGTTTGTCATCTGCTTTTTGTTGTATTTATGAAAACACAAAAATTGTCCATAATTTAAAAAAATCCCACCCCAGCAGCCTCACTTTACTAATAAATACTTTTTTAAGTATTACTTTCTTCTTGTAAACACATTTTACTGTTAACTATGCATATGCTATTTTTTTTCTGCCATTTTTAATGTGTACATATTTACTGTGCTTTTCTTGGCCTTCATGTTAATATTTAATGTGTCATAACTTAGTAGATTATTCCCTTTTTTGCTTTGTGAATAAAGCTTAGCAATTTTGGGCACATATTTCAATGCTTTTATTGAATTTTTTCTTAGGCTAAACTAGAATTAAAGTACCTTGGTCCCTTTCACCCTTGATATCAGCTACTCCTGATGTTCGTTTTTCCCCTTGCTGTCTGACACAGTGCTACTGTAGGGTCTTACTTGCCATTTTTTGCTGATGTTTTCTTCCCTTTTCCCCCATAAAAATACATTATTTTAAAATTAAAATAGTTCCTTTTCCCCAAATTCTGTTCTTTAGAGGCAACTTTTGTTATCAGCGTGGAGTATATTTTTTGTCTTCTTAGCAGTAAATGTAGTTTTTACTTTCTCTTTGTACTTTACTGCATTTTCAAATTGTCTACACTGACCATTATTTGCTTTTATTAAAAACATTGTCAGATATTTCAGGCATAGAAATATAAATTGTGATAAACACCCATGTATTCATTAGCAAGCTGCAAAAATAAAACATTGCAGATACAGTTAAAACTGCCTTCATAATCTTTCTTTTGCAGATATAACTTTATCCTGAATGTTATGTTTGTCAATTTCATGTTTGTTTCTATGCTTTTGCTGCAGTTTGTATGTCTTGAAACAGTATAAACCTATTTTGCAAGTTTATGCATTTTATATAAAAATTAGTACTATGGGCTGTGTTTTTATTTTTCTTTTGTATAGCATACTTTATTAAATATTTTAGCCATTACCAAATTGCCAAATAGATAAATAATTAGTATTACCAGATCATTCTTTGAAGTGATTGTTTTAGTTCATAATACCACAAACACTACTTGAAAGTTTGCTTTGTTTTACATCCTTATTAACACCTGGTATTATCAGACTTACTAAGTTTTATGAATCTAATGATTGTAAGGTAGTATCTCGTTTTTGTTTTAATCACATGTGCCTTTTATAATTTGGAAAAATGTGTCCCTTTTTCATTCCCTAAGCTTCCTGGGGACATAGCCATGATGCCTTTTAAGTTAAGAAAGTGCCACATGATTGTCTAATTCTCTCTCAATAAACTGCCCACTTAGTGTACCATGACAAAAGATTGTATTAAAGCGAAAGTCTGATACTTTTGAGATAGTAGGACTTCTTTTTGCTCTTCTAAAGAACTAAAATGATGGTTTTTGACAGCGTATAGTTTAAAAAGTCTGTAGCACCAGAACATTTGACATATTCTCTGTCTTTCCTGTTCTAGGCTCCGAGCTCTGTCCAGTGGTGGAAGTATTACATCCCCTCCTCTTTCTCCAGCATTGCCGAAGTATAAATTAGCAGATTATCGTTATGGCAGAGAAGAAATGTTAGCACTTTTTCTTAAAGATAACAAGGTAAGAAAGTAGGAAAAGAGTTCAAAATTATGAATGAGACTTTGGGATATATACCATGACGTATTGATACATGAAAACTGATGTATTTTACTAATGTATTTACCCATGCCTTTTCTCTCCACTTTACTGTTTCTCTGCTTTGAAGCCTACAGTAGGATCTTCAGAGTGTATCACACACTATTTTTTAGGCAGCTTCATGGAAGCAGGAAATAGCACTTAATACCTTCTCTAGCTAACTTCCTCTTAACCTCCCTTTCATATCTATTTGTATCCTAGTTCAGTGGCTAAGAGATGAAGAATTTCTCCTTTCTCTTTATTGTACCTCTTAACCTACTTTCCAGTTAAAAGTAAGGAGCAAGATGAGGAGCACCTTCAACTATTTGAGTTAAATATAAAATTTTTAGTGGAGAGAAAACCTTAAAATGTAATACTACATTTGTGTCACTTAGAAATCATCAAAATTGAAAGTGTAGACTTTTATTATGACTTTTATCTTACTCACTGAGTGACTAGTGAGAAAGAATATATATTTTCCCAAGATACTTTTTTTTTGAAACGGAGTCTTGCCCAGTCGCCGAGGCTTGAGTGCAGTGATCTCTTCTCACTGCAACCTCTACCACCCAGGTTCAGGTGATTCTTGTGCCTCAGCATCCTGAGTAGCTGGGATTACAGACATGCACCGCCATGCCTGGCTGGTTTTTTTTGTATTTTTAGTAGAGATGGGGTTTCACCGTGTTGGCCAGGCTGGTCTTCAACTTCTGGCCTCAAGTGATCTGCCTGCCTTGGCCTCCAAAAGTGCTGGGATTACAGGCATGAGCCACAGTGCCTGGCCTTTAGTGTACTTTGTTTTTCATTGATCAAGAATTTCAGATTTTAATGATGGTTGCTAAGGACAGATACAGTTGCTTATAAAACTCTCTTTATCATCTTCTGCTTTGCATTAAATGTAGAGACTTATTCTTCCACTTTGTGCTCTGGAATAGCAGAGGTAGTGCTAAATCCAAAAGTGGCCATTATGTGAGAGGCTGGGGAGTGTTGACTGGGGTTTTTAATGTTGACTGTCAAAATACATAAGGACTATAGAAGTCAGTTATGGCTGAATAAACATTAATCTGTATTTATAATAATCAACAATAAACAGAAGAGTATTTTCCCTTGGATTTATCTTCTGGTAATTTTTCTTATTGCAGGAATAGCATTAATCTCATAATCATGTGTTTGGTCGTACAGATACCTTCAGACCTTCTGGATAAAGAATTTCTGCCTATCCTCCAGGAGGAATCCCTTCCACCATTGGCCCTTGTACCCTTTACAGAAGAAGAACAGGTTTGTAATTAGCTCTGAGCCCTAGCAAACCCTTGTTCTTTTCCTCCTAAGACATGAAAATAGGAAGTTACTATTTATTCCCTAAGAATTATCCTGCATCCTCATAGCTCTACTTTCTTCTGTTTCGTGGTACATTGATGCTTAATAGTTGACTGGATTTTGCTGTCGTATTTGCAACTGTTGAAAATTTCATAGAAACATTTGTAGATCCTTAAGGACATTGGGAACCATCCTTTAAAACTTAAGTAGAGGGGAAGAGTGTTTTTCCAGGAGGTGAGAAGATCATCTTTGCAGATAAACAGATTTTCAGAAGTAATTCAGAAGTGAATTCTTACTAGTGCATTTTACCGCTAAAGGGAAAATGTGTATCTTCAGCTCAAAATGCACTCAAAACTCTTCTGTCACCAATTTGTGTGTGTGTGTGTGTGTGTATGTGTGTGTGTGTGTGTGTGTGTGTGTGTGTGTGTCTGTCTGTGTGTGTTTGATGTGAGAAAGTAAAACTTCTGGGCTAGAAAGTAGCAAATTTAGTGTTGTTCCTGTTTACAGTGTATTTTGTCCTGTACAAAGATGAAAGAGTTTCTGATTTCAAGGAACTTACGATGACCGTAGTAAAAGGGGAAAATAAGCCTTGTTGGAAGTCTTGAATGTTACTTTATGCGCATCCATATAGGAAGAAGAGAGTCCAGGGAGCCAAAAATATACCTGTTTTACTCTTAGGAAAAGGTAAAGCAAGAAGTAATAAAAATTTTTTTTCCAAATAATCTACGAAATATTAAAATTCTGGGCATTTGAAAGAGAATTTTTAAAGAGGGTTTTAAACCATGAAATGTTTTGAACTTTATATAAAAATATTGGGGCTGGATGCCATGGCTCACACCTGTAATCCCACTACTTTGGGAGGCCAAGGCAGGTGGATTACCTGAAGTCAGGAGTTAAGACCAGCCTGGCCAACATGATGAAATCCCAACTCTGCTAAAAATACAAAAACTAGCTGTGCGTGGTGACACACGGCTGTAATCTCAGCAACTCAGGAGGCTGAGGCAGAAGAATCGCTTAAACTGGGGAGACAGAGGTTGCAGTGAGCCAAGATTGCATTACTCCACTCCAGCCTGGGCAACAGAGTGAGATTCTGTTTAAAAAAAGAAAAAAAGAAAGAAAATGTTGGCATATGTCCTTTGCTTGAATACCTTCTGTACACTTGGTACAAAAAGCAGAATACACAGATTAAAATGCACCTTGGACATGGCTGGAGTCAAAGGTCCTCTGGGCAGTTGGGCAAAAACTGAGGCTTAGGAATTAGGGTAAAAAAGAATCTGGCAATTCAACTAATATTTTAACCCTTTATGTGCCAGCATCCTGTTTACCAAAGGAAGCAAATGTTAGTAATTTTTTATGTATTTTTCCAAGTAAATATGGAAATATATTTTCCTCCTTTTAATACAAGTTGCATGGTTCTATACTTCCAATATCAAGTATTTTTATTGAAATACTTCCCTGCAGATTTGGAAACAGTTTTTTCCGTCATTTTAGTATGCATTTCCTTGCCTGTAGCAGTAAACAGTTGTTTTTCAGATGTTTATTCATCATTTATATTTCTGTTAATTTTTTTCTTGCCTTTGCCAATTTTTCTTTTGGGATATTAATCTTTTTCTTGTTGATTTATGCTATTTATATGAGCTCTGTGTGTGTGTGTGTGTGTGTGTGTGTGTGTGTGTGTGTGTTTATTTTTTGTTTACTTATTTAGTTTTTATTTTTCGAGATAGGATCTCACTCTGTCACCCAGACTGGAGTACAGTGGTGTGATCATAGCTCGCTGCAACCTTGAACTGCTGGGCTCAAGGGATTCTCCTGCCTCAGCCTCCTGTATAGCTGGGACTACAGGTCCATGCCACCACACTTGGCTAATTTTGTTTTTTGCAGAGATAGGATATTGCTGTGTTATCTAAGCTGGTGTTGAACTCCTGACCTCAAGCGATTCTCCTGCCTTAACCTCTCAAAGTGCTGGGCTTATTGGCATGAGCCACCATGCCTGGTCTGGCTCCTTATATTTTAAGATCATTGACCATAGATATGTACCCGGTAAGTTTTCTAAATTTTAAAATTGCATTTATGATTTTGTGTATTTCTTTTTCTTTTTAAGACTGAGTCTTGCTTAGTCACCCAGGCTATAGTGAAGTATCACAGTTTCGGCTCACTGCAACTTCTGCCTCCTGGGTTCAAGGGATTCTTGTGTCTCAGCCTCCCGAGTTGCTGGGATTGCAGGCGTATACCACCACGCCTGGCTAGTTTTTGTATTTTTAGTAGAGATAGGGTTTCACCATGTTGGTCAGGCTGCTCTCAAGCTCCTGAGCTTCAAGTGGATCCTCCCACTTTGGCCTCCCAAAGTCCTGGAATTACAGGCGTGAGGCACCACGCCTGGCCACATTGTGATTTTAAATACAAAAGCTAACTTTATGAGGTTCGTATACCAGTTTTATTCTTTCATGATTATTCTTTTAATTTTTAGCTATTTATATATTTTAAAAATTCATTTTTATGTTTCTTGAAATGATTTCATAGATTTCTTAGAGACTAAATGTATCAGAAGAGGTTGACATGCTACTAGTTACCAAAATGTGGTAGACTTTTAATCAACAGAATGAATAATTGAATTACCCAGAAACGTCTCATAAGATTTTAAAGAAATTAGTGTGTAGTAAAGACACAAATCATTTAGAAAATCAAAAATTATTTTGCACATGTTGCTTGGGATCTGTTGGTTAATTGCAGTTAACCAGTAATAGTTGGTTAACAGTTTAGAGAAGAATAAAATTAGGATTGCAGTACACCTACACACCAGAATTAGTTCTAGAACAACTAAAGGAGTATGTTTAATTTTTTTTTTTTTTTTTTTTTTTTTTTTGTGATGGAGTTTCGCTCTTGTTGCCCAGGCTGGAGTGCAGTGGTGTGACCTTGGCTCACTGCAACCTCTGCCTCCTGGGTTCAAGCTATTCTCCCTCAGCTTCCCGAGTAGCTGGGACTACGGGCATGCACCACCACGCTCGGCTAATTTTGTATTTTTAGTAGAGATGGGGTTTCTCCATGTTGGTCAGGCTGGTCTTGAACTCCCGATCTCAGGTGATCCACCTGCTTTGGCTTCCCGAAGTGTTGAGATTACAGTCGTGAACCCCTGCGCCTGGCCCTTATTTTGTGCTTAGGATGGAAATGTTTATCTTAAGGTCTGTATTCTGTGATCACAGGAGCTTGATGCAAGGATTGGGAAGTTTTCACTGTAGCCACAGAAGATCATCAGGTCTGTTTTTGAAGGCATTTAAAATGCACCATATGGAATTTTCTGATGCATATTTAATAGGCTGTGTCATTTACCGCATATGTTGGAGTAGGACGGTGCTTAAAGCTGGCAAACAATTCATAAAAAATTTTATGTTTGTCCTTTGAATGATCAAGTACCCTTCAGAAATTAGTATTGACTAGATCTTTCTAGAGTAGTTTTGTATACTTTTTATTTCGTACTCCTAGGGAGGTAAATACTTTAATAACTTAAAGCAGGCTTCTTGCTGCATGTCTTGTTTCCTGAAGTTACCTGAAATAGGTATCTTTTTTTTTTTTTTTTTTTTTTTTTTTTTTTTTTTTTTTTTTTTTTTTTTTTTTTTTTTTGTTTTGCTTTTGTTGCCCAGGCTGGAGTGCAGTGGTCATGATCTTGGTTCACTACAACCCCCGCCTCCCGAGTTCAAGTGATTCTCCTGCCTCAACCTCCAGAGTAGCTGGGATTACAGGCATGCACCACCACATTCGGCTAATTTTGTATTTTTAGTAGAGATGGGGTTTCTCCATGTTGGTCAGGCTGGTCTCAAATGCCTGACCACAGGTGATCTGCCCACCTCGGCCTCCCAAAGTGCTGGGATTACAGGCATGAGCTACCACACCCAGTCCTGAAATAGGTATCTTTAAAGTGTATTGGCATACTTATTCTCCCTTTCCCTCCGTGTATCTATGTATCAAATATAGTGAGGACAAAAATGCATTACATCTGGAATTTAGGTAGCTGTTACAAGATGGGTGTATTTTATTTATTTGACATCAAAGAAATTACTTCATTTATTCATTCTTGAATAGATAATACATGTATATATACCTAACAAAATTCAAAGAGCACATAATGAAAAGCAAGTCTGTGACTCACCCAAACTCTGCTGCCTGTTACTCTTCCTCAGAAGTAACCACTATTTCCATTTTCTTGTGTTCTCTTCCAGGGATGTTTATGATGTCTACAAGTATCTCTATTCTTTTAAACACATTTCACTCACACACACACACACACACACACACACACACACACACACA